TCGGCAATAATCAACAACTCAAAGAACAAAGGAGTAGTAAATATGCATTGCATACTCTTTATACGTTCACAGTCTTGTTGCTATTAGGCATAGATAATTTTATTTTGATCAAAACAGGAATCTAACAATCCAAATAATTCATACCACTAGGCTTATAAATGAAAAGTATAATTATTGTGATACGAACAAAGTTAATATTTCAACGTTAGGATGAATTACAAAAACTTGGCTAAGCATGATATAATCAGTAATAGTTTTCACACAAAATCCTGTATATAACCAAAGAGTTAACAACCCAAATTGAAACATATTACCTAGTTATTGCAATTGGCAGCACCGCAAACTTTTTTAACTTCGATGAGAAAATCAAATTCAATTTTAGGGTAAAAAATAGAGACTAATTCGTGCTGATAACGTGTTATGAAATATAACTCAAAGTAACAATATGGAACAAGGAAATAAAGCAATTTAGTAAAACATGAACAAGAAATGGAGATAGAGAGAAGGGAGAGATTTTCTTCTTCAATTGTGTATTTTTCTATCTATTACAAGGCCTTTATATAGGCATAAAAAGTAAAGAAAATATGTCATTGAACATATAAAATATGTCATTGAATATGTCATTAAGCATTTGAGATGAAGATCATGGAAGAAGAGTAGACATCCACCATAATGTGATATTTATCATAACATCTACTTCGTTTTCGCTTTTGTTTTCTGTTTCGCGGGGTTGGGGGGAGATAAGAAAGGGTTACCAAAATTGGGGTTAATTTAATATACTTGTTGTTGCGACCAAAAACACTCACGCAAGTGCACGTGATCGTCAAATAATAGAGTAGTGAGTAAAGTATCGTTCCCACGAATACTTATGATTAACTGTTGACTAATTCAAACTCAATTAATTTGTCTATTCAAGAGGGTTTTTTTCACAAATTAGATATGTAATTGTTTTACTACCTAATTACCAAACAATAATCTAACTAGAGCAATTAACCAAACAAATAACAATTCCGAGTAACAAACAGTAGGAGAGGATATTCCAGGGTCACAGGCTAATTAACAATCGTGTTATGTTCTTAGCTTAAAATGACTAATAGATTTACCTGAATTGTTGATTGACAGGGTTAATGTTACTCATAAGAATCTGTCGAGTCCTTACTCGCCTATTCAAGTTAACTCAATGCCTATATGTCTATGGAATTAAGATTAACAAGAATGCATTTACAATTCCTGTATTTCAACCAAGCAAGGCAATTGGGTATATGTTTATCCCAATTGCTAATCCGTTCTCCGAGGCCCGGGTTCAAGAACTTGCTCTATTTAATTCTATATGCAATCTAAAGTTCCCACTTTCGAGTTCAACTAAAGATTCGTAGATAGTATTTCACTGTTAGCTACTCAGCAAAATAACTAAAAGCAGAATTAAATAAACAACCCAAGATGATAAACCGACTTTGTCAAATTAAACTTCAAACAACAACATTCATGTTTCACCCATGACCCTAGAACAATGTGTTTTAACTACTCATACTAGTGTTCATCACAAATAGGTTCAATTTCATCCCAAATAGTAAAAACCAAGAGAAGAAAAGAAGAACTTGATGGTCAAATCTCCTCCTTGCCTCTTGCCTCTCTATTTCTTGCACTAGACTCCCCAAAACTTCCTTGGGCGAGCTTGACTTTATATAGGTTAAGTGGGTTTTCCTCCAGATTTCCAATTTTGCCCCTAAATAATTCTTCCCGAAATTTGGACTAGCGCGACCGGGCACCTGGACGCGCATCTGGCCGCGCTAGTTGGCTGAGGATTCTGTCTTGGACGCGCTAAAAGTAGCGCGGGCGCGCACCTGGGCGCGCATGTCCAGTTTTCTGTTTCATCGTTTCTTTTCCTCGTCTTCAAGCGTACTCAGATCCGAGGAGTCTTTCTTGCTCCAAAATGGTTCCAATCACACTTTTAAGGCATCACATAGGCTCCTCAACCTGAAATGTATACAATTCACAATTAGATCCTATTTTCATTAATTAACCATATTATGATATTGGAATATAGTCAAGTAGAAGCATAAACAATCGCCAAATTACCTAGATTTAGCCTATTATCACTTGTCGTGCAGTATGACTATGAACCAACCTAATTGGCAACCAACAATGAATACCGCTAACAAACAGGAAACAACTTTCATGTGGCATTGAACAAAACTCAGTCTCCTCCTAATTTAGTTCACCAAATGATATTGCAATTAATACAATAATTATGTCAGCCACATTTAAAGTATATATCTGAGATATGCATGTGGTTCTTGGTTGTACTTTGTTTTACGTAGAAAATTAAATTCCAGCAACCAGGGGCAGACCTACGTTGGATCAAGCAGATTAAGCTTAATTCGCTTCGTCAAAAAAAATTATTATTTACATGTAGAAATTCACTGTGAAATATGATATGTAAACCACATTAACCAACTTAACACAATCATGAAAGGTAGCCCAGTGAAACTCATATTACGGGGAAGTGCACGGTTAGCCATTAATAACACATATATTTATTTTTAAGTTACTATTTAAAATATTTTTAGTCTTTAGTCACTGCTTTAATAAACTTTAACTGTCCGGACGAAAATACCCTTCTGCTCATGTCCTTAACTTTTGAACTTAACTTCAGCACTTCAGGATTACATGTCCTTAACTTTTGAACTTGTAACTCTAAGTTCAGGACTTCAGGACTACATGTCCTTAACTTTTGAACTTGTAACTGTAAGTTCAGGACTAAGGTGTGTTTGGTATGAAGGAAAATATTTTTCGGAAAATGTTTTTCAATTTTCCCATATTTGGTTGGCTTAAATGTTTTGAAAAATATTTTCCTTATCAACTCATTTTCCTCCAATTGGAGGAAAATATTTTCCTTATCAAGAGAAGGGAAAATATTTTTCAAAACTCCGTCTTAACCTTCCCCCTTTCTCCAAAAAAGGTTTTTTTTTTTCAAATTTCAGTTTTTCTGTTACCATCCACCCTACTACCCCTCCACCCCCACCCCCCAACAACAAAAAATTTACTTTTTTTCGTAATTTCAAANCTAGAAATTATAAAGTTTACGGGTTCGAAATTCCGCAGTTTCGAAAGTTTATGAAATTTGTGGATTCGGAAGGTTGTTAGTTTAAAAGTTTATGACTTCATGTTTATTATATCTAAATTATTTATGAATACTCTTGAGAAGTCATTTTCCTTAATTTACGTACCAAATACCGGAAAATGAATAAGATTACTACTTGTTTTCCAAGAAAACGGAAAACATTTTCCGTTATACCAAACACACCCTAAGTATCCTTAACTTTTGAGTTTGTTAGTCTAAGTTCAGGACATATTGTCTTAACTTTTGAACTTGTAAATGTAAGTTCAGGACCTATTGTCCTTAACTTTTAAGCTTCTTAGCCTAAGTTCAGGACCTATTGTCCTTAACTTTTGAGCTTGTTATAAGTTTAGGACCAATTGTCCTTATCTTTTGAACTTGTAATTCTAAGTTCAGGACCAAGTGTCCTTAACTTTTGAACTTGTAACTGTAAGTTCAGGATCCATAACGTAGCAGAAAATCAAACGTTATTTGTATCTTTTCACAAAAAAAAAATAATAATTGCAATTTACATCTAAGATTGATGTCAAATTACACAACAGAAAGCTAATAACAAAAAGAAACAACTAAAAAAATAAAAGACTACAGAACCTAACCAACCAAAAGAAAAAGAAAAAGAAATAAAGTTGGAGAAATGGTCTGCAACGCCGATGAAGTGGTCTGCCTTTGGGTTTAGAAAGTGGAATGAAGTTGGGGAAGAACTTACTGCATGGAGAAGAGAAGTAACGAGTTTGGGAAATTTTGGTCAGGAGAAAGGGTTTTGAAATTTTGATAGAGGATTTGGGAAGGAAAAGAGATAGAAGAAAGGGTAACTTCGTCTTTTCATATCAATTTTAATATAGTAGTGGCTACTTTTGATCAATATTAAAAATATTGGATAAAAAGTAAATACCACTTTAAAAAATGGCTACCCACGCCATTTCTAATCATATTACACCATAAAGCCCCCCATAAAAAGTATTTCGTTAGGTATCAGCAGAGTCCTTAAAAACAACACTAGTAGTCACTCATTAATTCTCTGTCTTTTTAAAATTCCAATCATAAATTCATAAAAATGAAAACATTTCTTTTCCCTACAATTTTTTTTTTCTCAGCCACTAGGAATCAAATAGATGCAGCAGGGTCCAAAATTAAGGTATTCGCTATCCCCCATCACAAAAATAAACCTTTAGAAAATGTAAAGGGCTCATAGATTCATATAATAATTAAAAATCCCAAAAAAATTGTCCCATAAACTGAGGTTGCTAATTTTCAACTAAAACAACTGAGAAAAGCGACAATCCTAAAACAAGACTATAGTCGTTTGGTAGGATATATAAGAATAATGCGGAATAAAGTGTATTAGTAATGCAGGGATTAGTAATGCATGGGTTAGTAATGCAAGTATTGGTTATGCAGATATTATTTCTTATCTACTGTTTGGTATGGTGTATTAAAAATTATAATGCATTGCATAATGATTAAGAAAAATAATTGTTTACAAAAATGTGCTCCATATTCTCTAGTTTTAAAGGACTTTAAGGACAATTTTATCTTTAACTATACTAATGCATGCATTAATAGGTTTTCTATGCATTACTTATACATAGGATAATACCAAGTATGATGTATAACTAATACGGGGTCGTTTGGTATGAGGTATAAGAAGGTATAGTATTGGTATAAAAGATTAATATCACCTTAATACTTTGTTTGGTTAGCAAACCTGGTATAAGTTAACCCGGGATTAAAATTAGTACCTGGAATAACTTATACCTTGTAGAGGGTAGAGTAATTAGTGTCACGATAACTTATACCTTCTTTTAAGAAATTATGCAATTGTCATTCTTAATACAACATACCAAAAAGTGGATAAAAAATAATCCCAGGATAACTAATCCAGCATAACTAATCCCAGCATTACTTATAACTAATCCAGCATAACTAATCCCAGCATTACTTATCCCGGCATAAGCCGTATTCACACCATACGACCCCTACAAGTATTAGTTATACACAAGTTCTAAAAATGTACCAAACAAGGTATTAGTAATGCACAGAGCTAATGCTTGCATAATTTTTCTAATACCTCCTACCAAACGACCCCTAAAATGTGTTACAATGTACATATTACACAAACAACAATTGCTTCTCTTTTTACACAGAAAGGTCAGCCCACAACCAGCACATCCAATTGTGCAAGCAAAAATGTAGCATCAGCCCTATTCCTCGGCCAAATTTCCATATTGCCATGGATTGAAGTCCACGGATTTAACATCTTCTATATCAATGTTGCCTGAAGCATCAGCCGTTGTCCAATGCTCGGTGTACTTGCCATTGTACTGGTAGATTTCCAAGTCACCCCATGGTGTTGGTGCAATTTCATCGGTCATATCAAACCATCTTGGTTTGAATTCATGTCCTTGTGCCTCTCTGTTTCTCTTTTCAGCTCTCTGCCTCTCCTCCAAACTAAAGAGATACAGAACGGCAAAGCAAGCATCTTAGAATCAGAAGGAAACAGAATGAATGAATGAAAGGATTAAGTTTACCATTGAGGCTTATCAACCAATTATCATCTCAACTCTATCTCTCAACTTTCAATACATTTGTATACTCGTAAATTATACATAGATGATACTAAGAGAGATTTGATAGTTTGAGGCATGATCCAAGGAGTAACTGAGGGCATTCAAGAACGCTAACTTCACTTTTATGACCCTAGAGTAAATCGGTATACATGTTATGTGAGAAATATAAGAGCATAGCAAAGGGAAAGGGAAAAAGAGAAACCTGCTCTTTTCAGCACCAGCTTTGGATAGGTCCCCTTCTTCAAGTGCAGCTCTATCGGGGCGCAAACGAGAATCAGATGCTAACAACTTCTTGGGAGCAGTATCGAAACTGTTTATTTTATGCGCAAAATAGGGGTACTGAAATTTGTCATTTTCAGGAGCAGCAGCAACTCGCCAAACCTGCTGACAGGTTAATAGTTAGCCACATGTCCATGTCAAGCAATATTTAATTGCCACATAACTGCAACAAAGCAAGAGGATTTTCTGATGTGTAGCGATATGCACATGCCTTTACAGGAAACTAATTAAGTAGGACTTGTTGGAGGGAGCAGGTAATAGTTGCAAATCCTTACTCACGATTAGACAAGTTTTAGCAGGACTTGACACCAGAAAACACACTAATAATACTAAGTGCAAAATAATAAACGATAGGCTGTAAGTACTTGAAAAATATTGACCTCAGCAACTAACTCACAAAATAATAATCAATAGGATTTAAGTACTCGAACAACATGACCTTAGCAGCTAACTCATGCATATGGAAGCATGAAATATAATCACAAACTTAAGAATCAGACTTAAAAGCCAGATCTACCTTTTGCCCCAGGCTTTGCTCTAAGTGGTAAGAGCAGAACATGTCATGTATGGGTTAGGTACACGTCACGAATTCAAATTTTGTCACAAGCAAAAACCTGATATTTAAGTGGAGAAGGACAGAGCAGTGAGCATATTATCTACTGCGTTTCAAACCATGTGCCACTGGCCTCGGAAAATTCTTGGTTATTAAAGAAAAGTCAGATCCACTTTACATGGAGCTTCCATACCATCAAATGAATCCACAAATAAATGAAATAAGGTTCTAAGCAAAAAATGAATAAAGCCTGCAAAATTTCTCTTTCTGAATTATCTTTTGTAGTTTATTCGTTTCTTTTTCTTTCTTTTTTTGACATAAATGAACTCTTTATACCGACTGATGGCGACTTTGACTAAACTAGAGGTCCTTCTCACGTCTTATCTCCCAAAGATATAAGGTATAATCGAGTTAAGAGTGCATCAAATCATAGAATAGCTTTTTGTTACCAGCCATTTATAAAACAAAATTTTGGAATTTCATCCCTGAAAAAAAATAAGAACATATGATATCACACTTTAAGATGCCATCATACATGAACTTCTATAGTCCATTAGAGCATAGGAGTATTTGTTTTTGCAACTTATCAAATTAACATTGGCATATGATAGAACAAAATTCCATTCAATGAGAAAAGCTGGCCAGACATTAACCTCTTTTAGCTCTGTGCCAGGAAGAGGCTCACCCTCCATGTCACAGGGTTGGTAACTCATTGACTCATTCCATTTTCCAGTCATCAGTATCTTAGGTTCCTCATTAGCATTATAAACATACCCATCAACCTCATACCGTCCAGCCCTGCACCCAAAAAGCAACTTTATCGATAACCAATAGTAGGTTGGAAATACTGGTGATTGAATATTAAAGCATGCTGCAAAACATTTTATACGCATTTCCGCATCCGACAGTTATTAGTCGTGACAAAAATTAACGAGGAAGATGTGATGCCTTCAAATGAAAAGATAGCAAAAATTATGTCCAGTTCATATAGAAGCACCGTAAGAATCATGAAAATCAGAGAAGAAAATAATATATAGAAGTTCAAGCCAAAGGTTTGTAGCAGTAAAAACCATATGGGCTTGAGAGTCGCTGGACGGCAAAAAGAAAAGGGGTAACTTTCCTTGTTTTAAGCAACGGAAAAGAACCAAAGTTCAGATGAGGTATTAAGATAGGCTTATATACCATAACCATGTAATCAAGCAGTAAAAGTAGAACTTTCTGGTCTTTTTGTTATCACATCATATATGTGATAACAAAAGAAAAGGCCCAACAGAAATAAATATGAAAAAGAAGCGCAAGAAAATTTGGTAATATAGTTAAGAGGAGACGCCAACATACCCAAACCAACCACAAGCTTGGAAATAGAGCACCGCTTTGTCCCCGGTTGTCTGATTTGTCATGATCATTTCCCCAGGCGAATCAACCCAGGTTCGTCCAAATATTAAATTATTAACCTTTGTGGGAGGGGGAACCAAATCCAAGACAACACCATCTCTCTTAAGGGTCACACGTGTCCTGAATACGAATAAAGAACAAGAATTTCTAGTGTTACAAATTTATTGAGATGTAGATAAGTTAATTGCAGTAATAGAGAATAAAAAGCTCCAATACAGAGTTAATATATTCTTAATCAACATCTACTTTGGAGCCTATTGAAATTCAACAAATCGATATAAAAGAACAGAAAAGAAATCTTTCTAGGTCAGATATCAATGAAGAAACTACATGAACGGAACAAAGCTCAATTATATTCAAAGATATATTCTCTAGCTCTATACAAACATTGTAGCCATCTAAGTTGCTCGAACTAGGGTGCGGGTATCCGATACGGGCACGGATCCGATTGAGGGATTCAGCAAAATCTAAATTTTAAGATTTGTGGGTGCAGATCCAAGTATGGATACGGGTACGGCGATTCAGCTAAGAAAATTCAAAATTATAAAAAATAGAGCTATATGGATATTATAAATTTTGAGAGATATTATGTGAAAAACTTACATGTATATTGTGGAATTCTATCTTTCATTCTTCAAGATGCACATTGTTCTTCCATTCTCCTACGAATAAAATAAAATAGCAACTAAATTTTAAAAGTATATTACAATAGAATAAATATAATTAACTTTTTCAAAAAAAATAGAATAAATATAATTAAAAAAATCAAATATAAAGTGAAAGAAAGAATTAACCTTTTATCCGAGAACAAGAATGGCACAACTCTTGAAAAAAGGAATGTAACTTGTATTGTAAAAATAAGATCTTAAACAAAGTGAAAGTGTGAAATTAGAATTCTAAAATTTAAGAAATAAACAAAAGACATTCATTTCATCCACAATTTAGCTATTAATAATTAGTGAATTACATGACTAATCAATAGTTCAATACATCAAGTAGAAATCACCCTTTAACCAAAAACAATAGAACATTTAAACTTATCTAACTAAAACCCGACAAAGCATAGTCAAGTTAACTACTCTTAGGCCCTAGCTTTCCTCCACAACTTCTTTGAAAGACCACTCTTTCCAATTGAGGTTCATCCATTGATAGCTCGATTAAAACCATCAATTGTCTTATCAATATCAAATTGATTTCCACCTAAAGTAACATTAAATTAAAAAGAATAGATATATTAGAAAGTTTTCATGAAAAGGAAAAAGAGTTATGCAAAATAAATAATTGAGAAAAATATCAAATAAAAAAATGTATACATACCAAATCCCAATACTTGCATGGTCCACTTGTATATTTTTCTTTCTTGCGAGAGAGCAACCATAGATTATAGGGTACAAAAACCAAATCTTCAGCTCTGGCAGTTGCATATTTGTTTCTCTTAATGTTGTGAATCAAAGAATAAGTGCTCCAATTTCTTTCACAACAATAGGAAGAAGCCGGTTGAGTAAGCAACTTGTAAGCTAAGCTTTGCAAGAGTGGAGCCGAGACACCATAATTTGCCTACGGAAAAAGAGGATCTTCATACATCATAACCTCAATCACATGAGACTCACTAAAATAATCACCCCACTACAAAATGCTCCATACTCCAATGAGAATTGCTTCATTTCATTGTCCTTAAAGTATTTTCGAAAGCATTTGACTCTATTCATTGAGATTTCTTGATCTTAGCTTGCCTTCGAATTCCATTTTCACCTATGCCATGATTCGTCATAGTATTTTGGAACCAAAGACAGTGCCAAACAATGCAAAGGGGTATTACTTTTGTTTCACCTAGCTACAAGAATCTCATGAATTACATCAAAAAACTTGATTGGCCGGAAATGAGATCATTCCCCTTGTGCTCAAAGATAATTTTCTTAACTTTTTCAATCATTGTATCCCACATATGATAAATGAGATGCAATTTCGGATTATCAAGATCGGCACTTCTAAGCATATCTACTATAGGTTTTGTAAACTTCATAAAGTAACCAATGTTATTCCACCATCTATTATAAGGGATTTTATTTTACGTGTTTTAGCTTCAAGTCCTGCATCCCCCCTATAATGCTTCCATTCATCATCCATCACCATCTTCTTTAATGACAATTTCCCTGTCTGAACACGAATGGTCATAATAATGTGTGAAACAGATCTTGTTTCGGCAATTTTCAATTAACACAAATTGAAATGCTTTTGAAAAATTGCAAGTGATATGTCATGATTCACAACAAAGTTCTTCAAATTACTCATTTTGACCAAGTAACTTTAATATCCATTTGCAATTTGCAAACTGAGTTGATCTTTTCGAAGGTTGACACATACTTTTCAACGCTAGATTTAAATAATGGACAGCACAATAAGTCCAAAATACATGAGGAAATGTTTGCTCCACGGTAGATTCTACCAGAAAATTTCATGTTACGTGCGTTATCCGTAATAACTTGAACAACATTATCCGAACCTACATTTTCTATTGCTTTAATAAACAATTTAGCAATATATTCCCCTTAAAAATATTGGCCCCCCACTAGATGATGCCATTATATTTATTAAAGGTCATCTCTTAATGTCGGACCATCCATCAGAACAAATCGACAACCTTTTCTTTTTCCTTGTATCTTTAATTGGTTGCAACTTTCTAGCAATGTTAGTCTTTCCCGGAGCTAAAAGAGTTGTTCTTAACTTATTATATGGGGGAATATCACCGGGAATAGAATTTTCAGCTAGAAATTGTGAATATTTTTGAAATAGGGAGATCTGGCAAGATTAAATGATAGACTTGATGCGTAAAACATTCAAGCCACTAGTATTTCTTTTATAGATGCTGAAGGATTTTCTATAGCTCCACCCTCGGACCCTTTCTTTTTCTCCGTTGTAGTAAATCAGTCCCCTTCGGAAGAGATACATAATCAGTTTTCTTTCTTGCATCAACTTGAATGGATTCTTTCAAGTCGATGCAAGAAAGAAAGTTGGTTATGTATTTCTTCTGGAGGGGACTAATTTACTACAACGGAGAAAAAGAAAGGGTCCAGAGGGTGGAGCTATAGAGAAATCCTTCGGTATCTATGAAAGAAATACATAAATTAGCCGCTCAAATGTTTTACGCATCAGGTCTATCGTTTAATCTTGCAAGATCTACCTATTTCAAAAAATATTCATAATTTCTAGATGGAAATCCAACCCCCCCCCCCCATAATAGGTTGAGAACAAATCTTTTGGCTCAAGGGAAGACTAACATTGCTAGAAAGTTGCAACCAATTAAAGATACATGGAAAAAAAGGGATGTCGATTTGTTTGGATGGATGGTCCGACATTAAGAGACGACCTTTAATAAATATAATGACATCATCTAGTCGGGGACCAATATTTTTAAATTCAATAAATTCTAGTGGGGTCGTAAAGGATGGGGAATATATTGCTAAATTATTTATTGAAACAATAGAAAATGCAGGTCCGGATATTTTTGTTGAAGTTATTACGAATAACGCAAGTAACATGAAATTTGTCGATTCTACCATGGAGCAAACATTTCCTCATATATTTTGGACTCCCTGCCAATAGTTTTAAATTCAATAAATTCTAGTGGGGTCGTAAAGGATGGGGAATATATTGCTAAATTATTTATTGAAACAATAGAAAATATAGGTCCGGATATTTTTGTTGAAGTTATTACAAATAACGCAAGTAACATGAAATTTGTCGATTCTACCATGGAGCAAACATTTCCTCGTATATTTTGGACTCCCTGTGTTGTTCATTGTTTAAATCGATCGTTGAAAAGTATGTGACAACCTTCGTAAGGATCAACTCACTTTACAAATTGCAAATGGATATTAAAATTACTTGGTCAAGTAAGTAATTTGAAGAACTTTGTTGTGAATCATGAAATGGCACTTGCAATTTTTCAAAAGCATTTGAATTTGTGCTTACTGAAAGTTGCCGAAACAAGATTTGTCTCACACATTATTATGACCACTCATGTTTAAACAGTAAAACAGTCATTAGAGAAGATGGTGATGGATGATGAATGACAGCATCATAGGGACGATAAGGGACTTGAAGCTAAAGCATATGAAATAAAATCCCTTATAATGGATGATGAATGATGGGATAGCATTGATTACTTTTTGAAGGTTATGGAACCTATTGTAGATATGCTTAGAAGTGCCGATCTTGATAATCCGAAATTGCAACTCATTTATGATATGTGGGATACAATGATAGAGAAAGTTAAGAAAATTATCTGTGAGCACGAGGGGAAGGATCTCATTTCCGGCCAATCAAACTTTTTTGAAACAATTCATGAGATTCTTGTAGCTAGGTGGAACAAAAGTAACACTCATTTACAATGTTTGGCACACGCTTTGGTTCCAAAATACTATCACAAATCATGGCTTCAAGGTGAAAATAGAATTCGAAGGCAAGCTACTTTGAAGATCAAGAAATCTCAATGAATAAGGTCAAATGCTTTCAGAGATACTTTAAAGATAATGAAATGAAGCAAGTCTCATTGAAGTATGGAGCATTTTGTAGTGGGGTGGTTTATTTTAGTGAGCCTCATATGATTGAGGCTATGATGTATGAGGATATTCTTTCTTGGTGGGCGAATCACCGTGTCTCGGCCCCTCTTGCAAAACTTAGCTTACAAGTTGTTTACTCAATCAGCTTCTTCCTCTTATTGTGAAAGAAATTGGAGCTCTTATTCTTCGATTCACAACATCAAGAGAAACAAATTTGCAACTTCAAGAGCCGAAGATTTGGTTTTTGTACACTATAACCTACGGTTGCTCTCTCGCAAGAAGGAAAAATATACAAGTGGACCGAGCAAGTATTGGGATTTGGGTATATGTATACTTTTTTTTATTTGATAATTTTCTCGATTATTTATTTTGCATAACTCTTTTTTCTTTTCATGAAAACTTTCTAATATATCTATTCTTTTTAATTTAATGTTACTTTAGGTGGAGATCAATTTGATATTGATAAGATAATTGATGGTTTAATCGAGCTATTAATGGATGAACCTCAATTGGAAGGAGTGATCTTTGGAGAAGAATTGGAAGATTTAGATGGAGTTGAAGATGTTGCAGAGGAAAGCTAGGGCTTAAAGTAGTTAACTTGAATAACTTGACTATGCTTTGTTGGTTTTTGTTAGTCAAGTTCAAATAATCTATTATTTTTGGTAAAAAGGTGAACTTCTACTTGGTGTATTGAACTATTAATTTAATTATTAATAGCTAAATTGTGGTCGAAATAAATGTCTTTTTTTACGTCTTAAATTTTAGATTTCTAATTTCACACTTTCACTTTGTTTAAGATCTTATTTTTACATTTACAACACAAGTTACATTCTTTATTTCAAGAGTTGTGTCATTCTTGTTCTTGAATAAAAGGTTAGTTCTTTTCTTCCACTTTATATTTGATTCTTTTAATTATATTATTCTATTGTAATATACTTTTAATAATTAGTTGCTATGTTGTTGTGTTCGTAGGAGAATGGAAGAACAATGGAAGAACAATGCCATCTTGAAGAATGAAAGATTGAATTCTATAATATACATGTAAGTTTTTCATAGAATATCCCTCAAAATTAATAATATCTTTATAGCTCTATTTTTTATAATTTTGAATTTTCTTAGCTGAATTCCCGCACCCGTATCCATACCTGGATCTGCACCCCCCAAATCTTAAAATTAGATTTTTTCGAATCCAACGCTCAGATCCGTACCCATATCGGATATCTACACCCAAGTTCGAACAACTTAGAAGATAACTGCAGATAAAAAGAACTATAAATTGTAAACTGTGGCAGTTACACTCACTTAATGGATATGGTCGCCTTTGTTTCGAAGACTTTTTCTTGCCTGGATGAAACTACAATAGATGAATAGTCATTTCCTCAAAAATTCAGACAACATGTAATGCCTCAATTTCCGCCTTACACAAACCAAAGCGAAGCAGATTTTCTCCAAATTGGTATATCTAGTCAGCGAGATGAAGACCCTAATTTGGACCCTCGTGATCGAGCATATGATTGTAAAGAAAACAGAGTAATCCACTTCTCCTCGACTCAGAATACGGGATTCAGATGGACTTCCTATTCTAAAAACCTAAGTTGCTCGGACTCGGGTGCAAGTATTCAAGACGGGTGCGGATCTAGAGGTTCGATCCTTCATGATCTGAATTTTAAGATTCGGGAATACGGATCCAAGTATGGATACAGGTGTGGAGATTCGGCTAAAAATAATTCAGATATCTAAAAATAGAGTTATAAAAATATGTCTAAATTATGAGAGATTATATGTAAAGAACTTACAGGGTGTTTCGAGAAGGAGAAAATATTGATCAAAAGGCGAATCCGAGAAGGAAATACAAGGAAAAGAACTGACATAGAAATTTTTATATACTAGGTATTCCATTTTCTCCAATTTCACCCTAGCTTTCGTTTTTATTTCAGAAATGGTTATATCTGCCCCAAATTTCTCCGTCGGTTTTGGTCAACGTGCCCAAAATCGGTTGACCAGATCCAGTACGGACCACCCCCCCCCCCCCAATCCATGTCGTGTCGACACGGGTGCGGCACCAAAAGTGAAGAGTTCGAGCAACTTAGCTAATAACTACATCACATCCATATTTCAGGTATACATCAATACTTCAAAACTTATACATTTGTCATTGACATTGTAGAAACTTATTCTTAACAACTATCAGGTACAAAGCAAGGAAAGCAGCAAGGAGAAAACAAAAACCTAAAATTATGATTTGATAAGAATTGCAGTTAAAACGTCACCATTTGGACTCAATGAAAATAAAACAAAATTTTTGGATAAGTAAAACCAGGAAGAATGGAAGCAAAGAAAGCATACATCAATTATTACAAAGATCTCCATGCATTGACGCTGATCAACAACAAGAGCATACTACAATCTTTGCAATCTAGGAAGTAGGAAAGGTACACATGAACTAACCTTCCAACAGGATATACATCAACGGAGTTACCCAAGAATTTGGTTTTCAACTTGGAAGTCACATCATATGTGAAATGCTCATTTTCAGCATGCCCAGCACTCATTGGAGGATGATGGCTGACCTGTAGGTCGTGAAGCATTAGATTCCATCAAACAATGACACAAATGAACCAGTTTGAGCATATCCATACTAGGCTTTAATAAGATCTAGCATATTAGTTTAGCTTAATTTGCAATTGTTTAATAAAAAATGCCAACCGATGCAATATCTATTGTAAGATGTAGGACAAACCAAACACGTGACAGAGCTAAAGAAGACAGCATAAGTACCCTTCATATACCTGTTCGGAAATAAATGTGATGCCACCATGGTTGACCATTTCATAAGTCTCCCCAAGAATTGGGTTAAACGGTTTCCATGTACGTTGGTAAGCATAGTAGACTGATATTGCCCAAGATGCTGCACTAAATTTCAACAATTAATATTGAAAAGTAGAAAAGGAGTATGCAGAATTTAATCATCCATTGAATTAAACAGTTCCACTAACTTGCATATACCAATCGCATGTAAGGATCCTCGCATTCATCGGCTTTGTCTAAAAGGTGGGAATATTCCATTAACTGCCACAACAGTTCCAAACTAGAATGATAAAATGTTTGTACATTTTTCCCTAATACATTGTATACGATGTAATATTAACTAAAAGCATGTAAATCAGCTTCCACAAACCTCTGCCATTTTTTGAAGCATCGTCATGGGCTCAAATATAAGAACAGGGAGTGTTACCATTGATGTGACATCACAACCAATATACTTCTGCATCATCTTCCAGTAACTGTCTCGTTCCTTTGAGAAAGCAAAGGATCACACTCAACTTGAGAAATTAAAGATATACCAATTACCTTCTCAAACAGAAAAAATTACTAAATCATTTCTTGGTGAACATATAATAAAGGGTAAGGCCCCTCCACATTAAATGTATGAAATTGAAAGACACAAGCATTTTGAGTTCTTGACTCACATAAAGGTGCTGCGCTTATTTCTTAATTTTATAGACTATACTTTGCTGCATGACTAGCTAAAATTGGAGTATGTAATACTTTAAGAGGATGTGGGCATCTTTTTAAAAGAGCACCTGATGTGCACTACTTGCAAAGAAAAGTTTAAGAACTTCATACTGCAATACTTGCACATAGTATGAGGTATGATCGTCTCTTTGCAACTTGGTTTACTAACTTGGTTCATCGAAGTAAACATCTTCATAAAATACCGTTCAAATTTTTTGTTGCCTTTCTCAAAAAAAGAATACCATCATGACCAGCTCCATCCAAAAAAGTGGCAGAAAACAGCTCAATATGCAAGATTAAAATTTCTCTCTCTGAGTGTGATTGTGCAGTGAGGGAGAGATATTGATGGATAGAGAGCTCATGAATTATAACTACCCCCATCCAAAATTTGGAAAATGCAAAAAGAAAAAAATTTCATCAGGAAGAAATCCACATTCATGTGAAAGAAAAAAGGAGACATCGAGATAACTCACCTCCTGTTTCCATCTACCTTTTTGTGCTTCCTCTTCTCCATCTTCTTTACCTCCTTCTGGATTTATAACTTCTAGGCCTTCATATCCAAGCAATCTGGAAGAAGGAAAGGCAGTGAATGGAGCAAACAAGTTTGGTTCCTGTTAAGATAAAATCATTCACCACAGAATTATAGGGAAAATTTGAAAATAGTACTCCCTCCGTTTCAAATTAGATGCGGTAGTTTGACTCGGCACGGAGTTTAAGAAAAAAGAGAAGACTTTTGAAACGTGTGGTCTAAAAAGTTTAAGGGGTAAAAGCTTTGTGGGGCCAGGACACTTGTGTGGTTATAAAAGCTTCTCATTAAGGGTAAAATGGATAAAATGAAGAGTATAAAGTTTGAATTATATCCAACTATAGAAATGTGTCATTCTTTTTGGAACGGACTAATAAGGAAAGTGTGTCATCTAAATTGAAAAAGAGGGAGTAGAAGATAGGAATAAGAAAATGTTATCACCCATCATAAAGAGATTTCAGGGACACTTAAAACAGAAGTGGAGCAGTCTCATCCTAATCCTTCCCTAAGAAGCTGTGCTACCACCGCCCACTAGATAGTTAAATAAGTGAGAAAAGGAAAGTAACAAATTATACCAAATGCTGAAAGCGATCTGGAGTCATTATCTAAACTAAATTCTTCATGTAACACTAAACTAATACTAAAAAATACTGTAAACCAGTTAAACAAATAGATGAGCAAAGGAAAACTGTCCAAGCGAAGTGCAGGTCGGAACTCCTGAGACGAACTGTGGCACTAGTGCCCAACTTTAAGGCAGCTATGACAATTAGTACATCAAGCTTATTGTTATTTTCAATCCCATCTGCTAGATACTCTAGCAATCTGTGTTAACAAAAAAATGTGTTTCAAGTGCTTCTAGGTACACGGCTGTTAGGCAAAAAATGTGTTTCAAGTGCTTCTAGGTACACGGTTGTTAGGCTTATCCAAGGCGTATTTACGGAAGTAGCAGGGAACTTGACTATCAAGTTCAAAAAAAGCTGGCGAAGCTTGTGTCACTTTCTTACATCGAAAGAAAGGGAGATCAAAGAAGTATGGAGCCGATATGTGAAGGATCAAATCATAGAGATAACGGATCTCAAGAGGCAAAGAGAAAAAGAACCTCGAGCGACCCAGAGATTGTGGGAACTCAGTTAATCACTAGGTTATTAACCCATTCAAGAACAGTTATCGTGCTTAGGTAGTGGTTTATATATGATAAGAATAATGCATGCAAAAGCAACAAAACATTAAGGGGTCACTCGGTTGGAGAGAATAGGAACAATAATTCCAGTACACAATTTGGTATTATCTATCTTGTGCTTGGTGGGCATTTTCATTTCCAGCATAACTCATACCTTAATCTATGAATTACTTTATACAGGATACAGCATGGAATAAGTTATACGTGTATTAGCTATACCGGTACAATTCCAGCATTATAATTACATAACTAGCTTGTGAACTAATCAACCCCTAAGAGCTGTAATATAATACAACAACAACAAGCCTAGCATTTTTCCACAGGTGGGGTCTGGGGAGGGTGAGATATACGCAGCCTTACCCCTACCCTAGAAGGACGGAGAAGCTATTTCCGAAAGACCCTCGGTTGGAGAAGAGCTGTAATATATTATATCCTCAAATTTCTCTATCTAATATGCAACTACAACTATAACATAGGATGCTTAACAAGCACAAGGCATACTGTTGCATCATACATTTAATAAAGTGGAATTATAACTAAAATTAAAAAAGTTATTCCCAACTGACTAGAAGAAAGCAAAGAACGTTGTCGTGTAGCTGAGAACCTATCATCAAAAACCTCGGGAGATCAAAGAATAGACAAAATGACAAATAAAAAAAAAATCTATAAACTCTTCTTTTTATGACAGTGAGTACCTGCTACCTCCCACCAACACATGGCACATGTATTAGGTAACATTGCCCTTCAAGGCTTAGGCAGATAGGAAGAATTCACCTAATTTTGGTTTGCTTTGAACTTCATGGTTATTCTCCTACTTCATTGACTACTAGGTTACACCTTGGCTACACAAATATACAAACTCTAACAAGCCATATGAGAACAATTCTTTGAGTTCCCAAAAACTAACATGTTGTAGCCATTACGCACAATGTGAAAATTTTCTCAAAAAAAAAAAAAAAACATACAATTACGACAAGCTGTTAACTAAACAAAAATTGTTATTAAGACCAAACATTAATATTTATGAACGTAAAAGGAGTGCTACACAAGCATACCCGTTAACAGATCTGTGAAGAGCGTTACCAAACGTGGACAATCCAGAGCTCATCGTTGCAAAAAATCCCTTGTTATGATTCTTCTTTGGACTCCCCATTTCTGCTAAACCCTAAATTCAATTCCTCTCAATTAATTATCAAATTCAATTTCACAAAATCAAATTCCAATTTAGATGAGTATAAAAATTTTATTTAAAAAAATTATTTTTTTATAAACCCTAAATTGATCGATGAATGCTGATTTTGTGCCTGTATAATTTTCAACTTTCAAGTATTGTTATATGTTCTTTCTTTTTCTTGAACTTTCTATTATAAGTATTTGTCAACGCGCTATAACTTATGTGTATTGTACGCTCTCTATTGTTGCCTGAGGAAGTTGTGCGTGGAAGTCACCGTCGTGAAACGTGTAGTTTGTTTCAGTTACTATTTTGAGTCTGTTTATCCTGTTATTGATACTAGAGTCATTACTGCTACCAAAAAATCAACCTCAACTCCACCAACTGTTGCCACCACCGCAATCGATTGTAAGCAACTCCAACAACTACAAGATAAGACCGCTTCTTCAATAACCCTTTTCATAATTTATGGTTTCAAGAATTATAAATTATTCCTTATAATCATTATAATATTTATAAAAATAAATAAACCAATAAATGGTGAGTGATGATCATCACCGAGGCTCATTACATACTAAAGGTTCATTAACATACAATATATCTTTCAAGCTCGTGTCAACTGTTTCAATCATCTAACGATTGTGTCATGCTCTAAAACGTGTCTGACACCGATACTATCCGCACTTAATGAACCAATCCCATATGATAAGCCCCAATCGTATGATTCAAAATCATTTCAAAATCTATACGTTATAAACAATTATATATAATTGATGACAATTAAAATATAATCAGTATCCTTTCATATATATCGCGTATGTGTATTAGTAAAATTTGATCTTAAAGCTCCTCAATGCAGTGACATGAAGCAAAGACAGTTCGGTACGTCAAAACATGGAAGCCAAAGTTAGAAGAATCAAAGGATCACGATCGGGGTTGCCCATTCGAATCTGAAACCGGAAGAATTCGCGGAAGAATTCGCGAGGCATATAAATAATTTACTCAGTTTACTTGTAACACACATTGTAGATCACCTATCAGATTACTCATCTATCTATATTTATATATCTATATTATTATAAAAGCATGAATATAATGTCGGTTTACAAAAATAACCTTATAATATTAAGCATAATAACCCACGATAAAAGGACATAATCAGAACTCTAGATATTTGTAATCCTATTAGCTTTAGGATATAATACTATAAGTTAGGAATCCTACATGATTATCATTAGGAATCTTATTAGTATAATTAATTTAGAGTATAGAAATATAATACTAGGGTACGGATTTGCTCCAATAACTAAAGCTCCAGTAATTTTCAATACATATCTAGATGGCAGCCATGTTTCCCTATGAAAATTTAATGGCCTTGATTGCATCTTCTTTTTATCTAAACATCTAAACCATTTTTCTCATTCAAGACAATGAAAAAAAATTATTGAACCCGACATAAAGTAATGAAAAGCTCACAATACATATTTTTTTTACTTCAAATTTGAAAATCAGATTCACTAACAAAATCTCAAATATGTTACTATTGGTTTTCAAAATGGTAAACAAAGAAACAAGCTTCATAGGAAACGAAACTGAACTATAATTTTAATTATGAGTGTTATAGCGAAGAAGAAAAAGATTTTGTGTGAGTTTCTCTATCTTCTTTGTAGTCTACAATATAAATCTTTTTCTCTACAACATTTGCTCAGGTTTCTCGCCCTTGGGCTTCGACAACGTCCATGCATGTTGTCATGGAACTCGAGATGAGAAGGACTGGGTATATTTCAACTAAATTATTTATTGAAAAAAGCAAAACGAATTCCTATTCCAAGCTAGATACGGAAATGGGAGCCTACAAGTTTTTTGGATGAGCATATGGTGGTGTTCCGTTATCTTCATTCTTTATTTGGAACATGTTAGTACATGTTTAGCATGTTAATTTAACACCTTTATGAACAGGTTAGCTTTCCTATAAGAATGATTACTTTCGAGATAAAAGACATATTTTTAGTCATGTAATTCTATTACTTTTAGGGTATACTTCTTAAAAAATTCTATTACTAATTTAATTTGAAAACATATTATGATGTGATATTACTAATTTCATTTGAGAATGTATTATATTGTCCAAATTCATTTAAAAAAAGGAGAGCATATACTATTATAAAGGCACGAATACAATATTGATAGACCAAAATAGTCCTAAAATATTAAATATAAGAAATTATAGAAAAAAAATTAAAATAACTTATTTTTTTGGACTACAAGACCTGCTATGTTGAATTTTTAATATTTAATATTTTAAAAATAATATATTTTGTCTATTAAATTTTTATACAATATGTAGGAAGGCTGAATAAAATTAATTTCATAAGAATCCTCCATATTGACAGTACATTATCACTCCATAATATCTAATACTAAGAGAAAATAAAAGTAATATTAAATGGACTACATAAAGCATTGAAATTGAGAAAAAATATCCTCATATTATATTTGGACTATTTTCCTACTCAAATAATATATCTTTTAATCAATTTTTCGGGTAATATTGAAAAATATACTCAATTATTAAACAACTGAGAAAATATTTAAAAATATAAATGTGTGAGAAATAGAAAGAAAAATGGTTGGTAAGAGTCAATACCACTAATGATTCTATACACATAAAGTGGAATGTCATATCAGTTTACTCTTTGAAAAAAGAAGTTTGGTGGATAAAATAATAATTAAGATTAAATCTTCTAAATAAGAGATGAACTAATATTAAAAATCTGAATCAACATAAAATAAATTATTTTTGTCTAAAGACCAAATAATTAAATCTTCAAATAATTATTTAGCAAGAGATTCCAATTCAACTTTTTTTTTAAAAAAAATTATCATATGGGTAAAATTATTTTTCAAGTTAAGAAAAATCTTAGGGTATATAAATTTATTCCATAAAAAGAGTGTTAGAGATTAAAAAAATTTAAACACAAGGTAAAAAATATTATTATAGTATTAAGAATCAAACGACCGTACAAGTGTATGTTTAAGCACAATCAAAGCTAAATTTTGAACAAGAACAAACTTTTAAGACTATATTATAAAGAGCCGGCTCTTATAGTGGGATTATCCTTTGTAGATGCCTCCGGCAGAATCAAAATAACATTTTTATGTCATGCATTACTTGAAAATGTCAAATCAAGAGGCATGATATTGCTAGCAATAATAACAAAAAGATTTGATATACCTCTTCAAACAACTGAAATAACCATCATAAATATATCAAAGCAGAAAAATAATGCTAAATTTATAAGAAAAGCAAAATTGATAATATGGGTGTCACACCTCCTTTTTGCGCGCCCGCCCCGAAGGGTTGAATGCGCGAGGGAGTTTTTCCAATTTAAGTGNATGCTAAATTTATAAGAAAAGCAAAATTGATAATATGGGTGTCACACCTCCTTTTTGCGCGCCCGCCCCGAAGGGTTGAATGCGCGAGGGAGTTTTTC